AGGAAAAGACAAGGGGTTGATAGCAAAGTTGAAAGGAGATCTGTCCAAGTCATTTGATATGAAGGACTTGGGCCCAGCACAACAAATTCTAGGGATGAAGATAGTTCGAGAGAGAACAAGTAGAAAGTTGTGGCTATCTCAGGAGAAGTACATTGAACGTGTACTAGAACGCTTCAACATGAAGAATGATAAGCCAGTCAGCACACCTCTTGCTGGTCATCTAAAGTTGAGTAAGAAGATGTGTCCTACAACAGTGGAGGAGAAAGGGAACATGGCTAAAGTTCTTTATTCTTCAGCAGTCGGAAGCTTAATGTATGCAATGATATGCACTAGCCTTATATTGCTCACACAGTTGGTGTTGCCAGCAGGTTTCTTAAAAATCCTGAAAAGGAACATTGGGAAGCAGTCAAGTGGATACTCAGGTACCTGAGAGGTACCACGGGACATTGTTTGTGCTTTGGAGGATCCGATCCAATCTTAAAAGGCTATACAGATGCTGATATGACAGGTGACATTGACAACAGAAAATCCACTACTGGATATTTGTTTACATTTTCAGGGGGAGCTATATCATGGCAGTCTAAGTTGCAGAAGTGTGTTGCACTTTCAACAACTGAAGCAGAGTACATTGCCGCTACAGAAACTGGCAAGGAGATGATATGGCTCAAACGGTTCCTTCAAGAGCTTGGATTGCATCAGAAGGAGTATGTCGTCTATTGTGACAGTCAAAGTGCAATAGACCTTAGCAAGAACTCTATGTACCATGCAAGGACCAAACACATAGATGTGAAATATCATTGGATTAGTGAGCAGATGGAGAACGAATCTTTATAGGTCAAAAAGATTCATACAAGTGAGAATCCTTCCGATATGCTGACCAAAGTGGTACTAAGAGACAAGTTTGAGCTATGCAAAGAACTTGTCCACATACACTCAAACTAGAAACTGCGAAGTTACCTCCTTCGGGTGAATGAGACTAGAGGGGGAGATCTGTGGGGTCCAGCCCACATTTTAAGGAAGTTGTTTTCTTCCTTTCTTCTTCATTTTCAAAGTTGGCAGAAGCAGGCAGCCCACGTTTCTCATTTTTCTGTCAAAAATGACAGGCTGCAGAAGTTGAAAAATCAAGGCTGGTAGGCATATTTTGCCTATAAAATGAGAGTTTCGGCTCTCATTCTTTCATCACAATCTCAGAGGAAAATATATCTGAGAGCTAGAAAAAAAGAGTGAGGTTTCACAGACAGGGTATAAGAAAATAGTCTGTGAAGAAAATAGAGAGTGTGAGCAATATTGTAGTGAGGTGAAATATCAAAAGAGGGTTATTTCTTTTGAGTATTGTAGTGGTCTTTGTAGTATTTTACTCGGGCCTACAAAGTGTAAATTCCTTACTATAATGATATCAGTTGCTCCTCTCGGGGTCGTGGTTTTTCCCTTATTCAGAAGGGTTTTCCACGTAAAAATTTTGGTGTCATTGTTACTCTTTTATTCTTGTTAATTACCGTATCTCGGTGCTACATTATTATTCCGCTTTTATTACCGTAAATATTATTTTGATAGGGGGTTTATTCCCAACATGCAAATCATAATTAATAAATCCAAAATCAAATTTAGAAAAAATAATATAATACAAAGACACACGAAAAGAAAAATCATACATGTTAAAATTAGTTACCAGCAATAAGCACAAGGAGAGTGGTGAAAAGGATGGCAAGTTTTCCAGCCATATTAATACTACTAGTTTAAGACTTTGAGGTTGATAAGAGTAATTTGTACAATAGTGATGCATTTCCATACTCCACGAAAGGGCAGTATATATAGACTTTTTTCCAGATATTTGGCAAGGGCTACTACTACTAGTACTATATTATATTGCAAGAGTACATAATCCTCTTTTTAATAGTACCCCTAGAATCAGAGGCGGATTTATAATTGAAATTTAGTGAGTTCAATTTTGTACTTAATTAATTATATTGTTAAAATCATAAATTTTAATTTAATATTTATTGAAACTTTAATAGAATTATATATATATTACTTCATGTCGAAAGTTAATGAATCCATAGCCATCCGCCCCTGCCTAGAATTATACTTGTAAAAGTGATGGAGTGAAGTTTTATGATAAACATGAGAATCATTTACGATGCAACTCCATGCGAAGAAACCCGCACTTGTCGGATCTTGCCTCACGAAATGTGGTATTCAATGTTAAAACGACTGTATTAATTATTATGCTAATTATTATAGTGTGAATGAAGAGATAGTTAATTAAGTTGCTATTGCAATGGACAGTGCACATTTCTTGGACGACTGACATATGTCCACTTCCAATTTCAATTATTTAGAGTAACTAACTAATTAAAGATCGGTCTAACTAACAATAGTTGTCAACGATGTAAGGACTAGAAATAGAAGAAAACTCACCCACCAAATGTAGTATTTCAACTGGAGGGTGGCAATATATTATTCGGGCACGATGAAACAAAAAATTGGGTGAGATCATCTCTGATATCATAATAAATAACTAAATAAATTATGGATCTGACACAACTCCAAACCCCAATTCATGAAGTGAGAATTGTCTAAGCAATATATGGAGAGCAAGCCCCTCATCCGTATTCGATAGGAGTGATTCGATAAATTTTCTGGAGCCGGCTAGATAGTAAGGCAACTAAAGGGGAGAAAGTAAAAAATAACCAGAATTACAATTGGTCGTTTAAAAATAGCTCAGTTTCAAAAGTAATTGAAATTTAGCCACTTTTTATGTAAAGATAAATCTGAGCGAAAACACTATTCAAAACCCCGAAAATACGCCAGTATATTATATTGGAGTTCCACCATAAGTATGCTTGAACTCCAGCATATTATACTGGAGTTCCAGGATAAGTATGCTGGAACTCCAGCATAATATGATGGAGTTCCAGCATAAGTACACTAGAACTCCAGCATATTATACTGGAGTTCCAGTAAGTATAATTGTCATGTATAATATACTGGAGTTTGGAGCACCGGTGCTCCAGTCTCTAGTATATTATACTGGAGTCAGCAAAGTAGTCCAGCATAATATGCTGGAGTTCATACACAGGTGCACCGAACTCCAGTATATTATGCCGGACCGGTCTCTGTTGTAGCAAAATAGTGGCTATTTTTCATTGACTTCGTAAACGCTGGCTATTTTTGAATGACCAGTCCGAAAACTGACTATACCGTGCTATTTTTACCAACTAAAGCCATGGCTTTAGGCCTCAATTTTGAAGGCCCCAAAATTTACCAAGTATCGATAAATTTACCAAGTATCAATAAATTTTGGAGACCATCGGTAGGAAAAATGGTTTCCCACGACATTCGTGAGTAATTCCCAGCGAGTTTCCCACTGAGGGTTTGGTGGGGTCACCAAGTGTAATTTCCCACAACGTCGTGGGAAAAGTAAGAAAATAAAATAATTTAATTTTCTTATGTTTCCCACCGAATCCGTGGGAATATTAAAAATAATTCAGATATTTCTTTTTTTTTACCCATGGAAGTAGTGGAAAAGATTCATAACACATATGAAAATTCCCACGAAAAATCAGTGGGAAATGTTGAAATTCTGGAAAAAAAATGCACAAAATTCCCACAGAGTCGGTGGGAAATCTAAAAAATATCTTCATGGCCAAATCTGTTTTTAGAACTAGACCACTTGCCAAACAGAAAGTACAACCAACAATACAAGACTAAATACAATTAAGCATTCAAATACCAAATTCAACATGCAATCCAATTCATTTCATAAACAACAACTAATCAATTCATTTCATAATTAATCCAACTAATCCAAAAGTAGAACAAAAACTCAAAAATCCAACATTCAATATTCAACATCCAAATACCATCCAAGACAAGCTAATAAAAGAAACTACTCCTTAGTTATCATCAGATGCTGGAGAACGGGGCACATGAAATGCACCAGATTCTAAGAGGGAGTTTATCTGAGACTTGAGACTTTTAACATCACTAGTGACAAGTCTTAATGCATCGTCCTTTCGCCTCATTTCTTCCTCTCTTAGCCTATCTTCTTCATCCCTTCGCGTTGCCTCGTCTTCCTTTGCAGCCCTTTCTTGAAGATACAATTTTGTAATCTTCGCTACCTTCCTATTCAATTGCTCAAACTCATCCAGATCAACCGAGCAATATGACAAAAAATAAGAACCAACCAATCCAGAAGTGCGACGACCGAGACTAAACTCTGATCCAAGGCCGTAAACTCTCCCCTTATGCATGCCACTAGCTGCCCTAATCCACATGTCCATGATCTCCTCTTGGGTTGGTTGGATTGGCCTACCTTGATCATCAATCGGCTGGCTTGAATGAACTCCTCCAAGATTTGTTTGAAATTATCCTGTAAAAAAATTACAATTATTATAAAAGTAAAATTTAAAGAAAATTTATGCACGTAACTTTATTCCTCAAATTTTAAAGTGAAACACACAGAAAGATAATGTGTAGACAATGCATCGGTACTTCTAATGGGGGAAAATTACTACACCATCTCTTTTGTAAAAATCAATACCCATAATCTACTAGCTACTAGTTCTCCAGTATTTGTAATGGGGAAACAATAAGATGAATTTCAGTATATTTACCCAAACAAAGTTTTTACATATAAAATCTCAATAAGCAGGCACAAATGAAGAAACATAGAAATATTAGATTCTGAATTATATGAAAGAGTCTTTAGGCTTTTCCACATTTTCAAACAGCTCAAGAATGAACTACAATTGTTTTTGGTTTTTATCTGGTTCTAGAATTGTTCTTCATTTTTCTTTCTCTTTAGCTTTCTTCATCTTTGAATGCAAAAGTTAATCTATCTACAAGGTTTTGCCATCATAGGTACATCAGGTCATAATCACAATAAAAAAACAGAGAGATAAGGAAAACACAGAACAACAACGAAGCAACACCAAACTGACACAAGAGCGATGGAAGAACAACAATTAACCAAAAGAGATGGTATTTGAATTTAGATAATATTGTTACATGAGTGATAGGTACAATTCAACAAGAAGTTGATTCTATAGCATTTGAAGCAGAAACAAACAAGAGCTTATTTCACTATCTACCTACCAAACATATGCAAGATTTGCAGAATGGCACTATGTGCGATACTTGTGAGGTCAAAAAGACAAGCAAAAGCTGTAGAGCTAAATAAGGATATTAGGGTGTGTAAGCACGTGATTTTTGCCCTATGAGAGAATTACTCCCAAAAAATTCAAAATAAAACAATTTTCCTTTGTGTGCAATTTTGAGAATTTTCGTGGCTTTTTTGGATAATTATTTGTATTTTGTCCGTGTATGTTTATTTGTTAAATTAATAAAAAATACAAAATATATCGCATTTGCATTTAGGACTTAATTCTACAATTAGGAGCAATTAAGTTTGTTTTACGAGAACAAAAAATTATAAAAATAATGTATGTTGCATTTTTAACATTTAATGTCCAAATTGTGTGATTTTATCGTAATTGCTATTTAATTGTGTGTTAATTGTTATTGAGAGTTAATTTGCACTTTTATAAATTAATTTAGTTCTATAGGATAATTTAGGATTTTTAGAAATTAGTTTTAGTTTAAAAAAAAATAAAAGAAGANCGTCGACCACCCTTGTCTTCTTCTTCTTCGTCCAGCAGCCATGAACGACCAGTGAAACAACCATCGCTGCTGCTTCTTCTTCTTCGTCCCCATAGGTCCCAAACGACCATCTGCTAAACAACCATAGTCCGTCGAGCTCTAACCTCCCATGGTTGCTATTTCTTCTGCCCCGTCTTCATCTTCTTCGACGAGCGTCGAACCATCGTCAAACCCAAACCACCATCACTGTTGCTGCTTCCACGACCACACGCACACACACGGATAGAGCAGCAACAAGAGGTCATTGAAACAAAGTGAGAGATAGACGGAGGAAAAGCGAAGCAGTCCGGTTAAAGTCCGGCGAAGTTCTGTCAAAGTCTCGTTTGGTTTTGTTTGAGTCCGTCGTTGTTCGTCGTTCGGTGAGGTCCAGTCTAAGTTCGTCGAGGTTAAAAGAGAAGGTAGGTTTTCGTTGAGTCGAGATCCGGTACGTCGAGGTTGCTGTCCGAGTTTTCCGTTTCTGTTCGAGTTCGTCGTTGTTCATTTCCGGTTAGTTGGTTTAAGTTTTATTTCTGTCCGTATTTTGTTTGATATTCTCGGTACTGAAATCAGTATATGTTTGATTCTTTTCTTGTTCGTTATTTATCATTTCTTGATTATTTCTTTAGTTTGTTTTATGTTCTTGTTTAGTTTTAATATAGAAGTGTTTAGTTTAATCATGTTGTTAGATTTAATTTAAAGTTCAATTGATTATTGAGTGATTTGAATCTACTTGTTTGTTATGTTCAATTTGTTACTGTTATTGAATCTGAAAGTATGTTTGTTGTTAAAAATATTGTTCAGTAAAAAATATTGAGTTTCTAGCCTAAATTTGTTGATGAAATTTGATTAGGAATTATTTATAGATGATGTATTTTGGTTAGATTGATTAGGTGAATTGGTTATAGCTGATGGAGGTAGAATGGTAAATTGCAGTATTTTCAGGGTAGAATGGTAAATTACAGTATTTTCAAGGGCATTTTCGGGATTTTAAATGAGTCTAAAAAATAATTAATGAGTGCTCCGTCCACTAGGTACCAATAATATTAAAATAATACGTAGTGGGGGACAAGACATAATGGTGGGGAATTAATATATTGTTTAATATAGTGAGGGACAAAACATTAGGTAGTGGGATTCAAAAGGGGGATGGGTAGAAGATGGTGAGATTTAGTTTAAATGCTTCAAATTTGTAAATAAATAGGGGGAGCTGGACACAAATAAAGGAAGAAGGAGAAGAATTCGAAAAGAAAAAAGATTTTTGAGGATTCGAATTTGAAGAGAGTTTAAAAGAAAGAATTTTCCGAACATTAAAAGAAAATTAAGGGTTAAACATTAACTGGTCTTTCAATCTAAAAAACAAGGTTCATTTTGTTTTTGCCCGTTGATTATTGTTGGTGTTTCTGGATTTTCATGTGGTTTGTTCCTTGAGTTTGGTTGGTTATTTGCTACTACTTCACTGGTTATTGCTGGATTGTTATTTTGATTTTAAAATCTGTCACTGGTTTCTCGTTGCTGGTTGTTACTAGTTGCGGGGTGTTGCTGTTGTTATATGCTACTGCATTTCTGCTGATCTTCCTTTTCTTTTACTTCCAATACCAGGTACACGGCTGTAACCTTGTCGATATTGTAAACTGAAATGTGAAAGCATGAATACATATGAAGAATGGAACTTTGAAGTTTTAATTTAACATTTTCTTTGTTTCTTTTACTGATTGTATTTAGGCTATTTCATGTATTAATTATTCTGTAAATTTCTGTTGCTTTGCATAACTAGGCATCTTGTAGTGATGTATTAAATAATACTCTGCTTTAGTTTGATTATTAGATAGTATATATTTAAGCATGCTCATTACTGTCAAACTGTTTAATAATTGGAATAAGAGGAAAATAACATAAGTTGGTCTTTAGTGAATCGGCTTGGCAAAACTGATTAGTTAACTAGCTATGAAGGTTTTAATATTGTCAACAGTAGGTTAATCGTGAACATGTAGCTAAATTTAGTTAAAGCATGAATTTAAATTAATTTTGTAAATTAGACATTATGGTATGATTTGAGTTCAAACAAGACGAGTTAACGTTTAAATTTAATAAACTTTCGAATATGCATTAGTAATTAAGATTGATTCTAGTTTCAAATAGTTGTAAATAATTAATTCCAACGGTTCAAGTCATCTAACAATGCGAGTTTAATCTAATTATAGGATAATTAGTTTCTTTTGAATATATTATTTGTCGATTCTGTATTTTATTTATAATTTCAATTTTAGTAATATTCCTTTCCGTTAACATTTGTCTTAATCTAGTATTTAATATGTTACGCCTTTTTTGGGCAAGCATGTAATTAATTAGGATTTTTTCTCTTTTATTTTAGAGACGAATTTAATAGAAATGTAGTCATTTTAGGATATCCTTAAAATAAATGAGGCGAGCCTCGACAAACAAGAATACACAAGTTGCGGGCCCTCAATAATTTGTTTTAAAATACTTAGACTTCGGGATAGGCCGTTTAGCAAAATTTCACAGCCCTACCCAAAAAAATAATGATACGCTAGTCGCTTTAGGCGCGTATTTAATAAGGTTATCTTCTTAAACTCGCGTGCACATTTATGTGACCCAAATCCAAATCTCAACAGAGTTGAAATATGCCAACAACCATGGGTGCATTGATGTGACGTGGTTCGAGATATATTTTTACGATGTTGCAATTCTCGATAAATAATAATAATAATAATAATAAAAACGGTAAAGAGTTTAAAATTCGCACATATGTTCGTAATTGTATAAAATCAGACAATCAAGCCAAATATGACAGTTGAGCGACCGTGCTAGAACCACGGAACTCGGGAATGCCTAACACCTTCTCCCGGGTTAACAAAATTCCTTATCCAGATTTCTGGTGCGCAGACTGTTAAACAGAGTCATTCTTTTCCTCGATTCGGGATTCAACCGGTGACCTGGGACACCATAGATCTCCCAAGTGGCGACTCTGAAATAAATAAATAAATCCCGTTTCGATTGTCCTTTAATTGGAAAAACTCCCTTCCGCGCCCCTTCGCGGCGGCGCGGGCGAAAAAGGAGGTGTGACAGGGTATACATTGCCTAAAAAGGTGGAAGTTTGCTTCTTTTGCTTTAGCCCAAAGAAGAGAGAAAAACACATTATATACAGATGGTAAGAGAGTCGTGCAACATAGAATGTAATAGAAAGTTTAAACTTAAATATGAAGCTCCTTGCATTTGACTATCAAGATTAGCCTATGTTAAAAAGAATGTAAATTACCAATATACCTTCCCAAAAATACTCTTAATACTTGACCGTATAAGTTATATCATGTACTGAACAATACGGATAGATCATGCAAGTAGGTCAATAATATAATTTCAAACCTACTTGTAAAATTGTTGAACTTCGGGGCAATTGAGCAATACATGTGTTGTAGCTGACTTTTTCTCCATCCCAGTCCAATTTCTTTTTTGATATTTCTTAGAACTTCTACCGGGTTGATTGAATATGGATATAGGCGGTGCCAAAAGATCATTGTCACCTTCATCGTCATGCCGATTTGGCCTATTTCTCAAACATGGCACGTGATGCTCAAAATAATATGAACAGAAATGAGAAGTTTCTTTAACTAGATATGCTTCACATATTGATCCCTCAATCTTGGATTTTTGTTTCATCATCCGTTTACATTTGCCAACAATCCAACATAGCATAATTTTAGATGGGAAGAAGTGTAATCAAAACACATAAAGGAAAAATAATTAATGGTTATTACCTCTCAAATGGATACATCAATCCACATTGAACAGGCCCTCCAAGTCGTCCCTCTCTTACAAGATGAATTGGAAGATGTTCCATTGTATTGAAAAAATCACATGGAAAAATTTTTGCCAGTTTATTTATAATTAAATGGATGTTACTTTCCATGAAAACTAGATTTTCCTCCCTCAATGTATTAGAACATAGGTCTTTGAAAAATAAGCTTATCTCTGTGATGAGTTTCCATATTCTCTCTGGAAATGATCTAAATGCAATAGGAAGTAATGATTCCATGAAAATGTGACAATCATGGCTTTTCATATACATCAGCTTTGCTTCTTTCATGTCAACACAATTGGATAAGTTTGAAGCATACCCATCAGGCATTCTCAAATTTCGAACCCAATCATAGATCTTTCATTTGTCATCCATTTTGAATGAATAACTGGCCTTAGGCTTCACCATCCTATTATTTTCTTGTCGTAGTTCTAATTCTCTTCACCTGTATTCCTGTAAGTCCATCCTGGCCTTCAAGTTATCTTTTGTCCTATTCTTGTCATCCATTACAGTATGAAACAGGTTATCAAAGAAGTTCTTTTCAATATGCATGACATCCAAGTTATGTCGAAGAAGATTATGCTTCTAATAAGGTAACTCCCAAAATATGCTCTGTTTAGTCCAATTATTTTACCGTATTGTTTTCGGGTTTACACCTAATATAGATGCACACTTTGGGTAATTGAATTCAGAGTTAGTTGACACAAGAATATATTCAACCCAACCGAAATCGCCATTGGGTCCAATTTTCTTGTTGCCAAAGCCAAAAAGGGTCGGGAGATCCAACTTTTTGTTTCTCAGAAAGGGGAGAGGAGAAGAATTTGATGGCTTCAGATTCAAGTTTAGTTATGAATTCTGTAAGGACGCTATGGTTAATGACTTTGAAGAATCCAAATTCTTCACAGGCCTTTACAATGAGGTTCTTTGAGTCAGGTTTTGAGAGGTGTATCAATGGAACACTATTGAAGAATGAGGATGATTTGCAGTTGTTTACTATGGAGAAACTTCCGAGATGAAGCTCAGCTGCGACAAACCCGAAATCAGCAACAACTATAAAATCCCTAAAAGATGTATGCGCTGGCTTGGTCTTTTGGAAGGGGGGATCCAAAAGACTTAGATTTATGTCCCTAAATTGCGATATAAAATCCCTAAATTTCGACAGAAAATTCCTAAATTACGCTCTATAAGACATAAAAGACTTAGGTTTAATAACAATAATTTTTTCAAACCTAGGGTTTGAAATAGCAAAAAATCCCTAAATTTTGAAAAATCAAAATCGGAAAGGAGGGGGTGAGAGAGAGAGAGAGAGAGAGAGAGGAGCGAGAGAACGAGAGTTACCTGGGAAGGGATCGGAGTGAGCTCGAGGTGAAAATTGGTCTCGACGGAGAGACAGAGGCGGAAAGGGCAGAAACTATGAAATATAGAGTGAGAGAAAACTAAAAGGCCGTATGTGAATAATAAGATAACTGTCCCACTACATGCGTGGGAACTCTGTGGGAAAACCTTTTCCATAAAACATAAAAATTCAAAGTTCAAAATTTTTTGTTTACGCGGAATATTTGAAAATATTTAAATATTTAAAAACAATTTTTTTTATTTTTCCCACTGTTTTCCCGGGGAAATTCTTTTAGTTTTATATAATTATTTTTTATGACTTTTCCCACAGAACTAGAGGAAAGTAAATTGCGCTCATTTTTGCGCCAAAATGTTCCCACAGATAGACAATGGGAAACATTATTGTTTTTGCGTGGACAAGAAATTTTACTTTTCCTACTGAGTTTCGGTGGGAATTGCCACTAATAATTTATCCATGGGAAATTTCCGTGGGAAAATGCTGTATTTCTAGTAGTGTCGATGGTGTTTCATAGTATATGATTCTGTACCCGGCCTCATAGAGAGCTCGGTCATACCCGGCCACACAAGGGCTCGGTTGTGTTTCACATTGTATCTCATCAAACACAATTGATCAGTGGTTGCACAATAGGTGTCGTGCCTGGTCCTCTATATATAACGTGGCACGGTAAGTAAAATGGATACATTTACATGTATATAACTGCCATTCAAGATCATTTTCAATAAATACTAAGAGTAACTCAAATGAATCATATTTTTCGACCTCAAGATAATAACCGAGAACATCTTAGACATGAAAGAAATGCTACTAGCAAAAATGTACAAGAACAGGAACAACGTTATTCAGAAAGTTTAGAACAAACCAATCTTACAACACAGAAATCCTTTAGAGAGAGATTCTTACACCAAATCATGCCAAGAATGAAGGTTGCCTTACATACCTTTTTGAAGAACTAGTTACACCTTTTGAATTCTTATGCTCCTATGGTGATTAACTCCGCCCTTAATGGATCTTCAGAAATCGATATAAAAAAATAACTGATATTACACTGACAATTTCAAGCTTCTTCACACTAGATCCTATAGAGTTCGCCTCCGATTTAGCCTTCGATTCTTTGGGAATTCTAAAAGGGTTTGAGAGCATTTTGAGTGAGCTAAAGTGGGTGATATCTCCTGGAATGAAAGAGAAGAGAGCTGCAAAACCTTTTATACTATACCTAATTTAGAAAATTCTGCCGTCCCAAGTGCTAAACGGATCCCCCCCCCACCAGCCATTGTGCTCGGTGGGACAGTTGCCGCAAGCCAAATGAAACTGCCTCTCTGCCCTGTAACGTGCCTTCAGCTGATTGGTGGTACCAAACCCTCGTTAATCCTTAACTTCATATATGCAGAGAAATAATGTGGGGTGTAACAATAACGAGTTCACTTTTTAAGAAATGGAAGAGCAAGTTTTTTTAAGATTAAATCCAGATACTTGTTATTGTAATCTCTCAATGAATTAAAACCAGAGTTGTAATATAGTAGTGAAACTCCATATCCCTTTTCTTCATTCTGTACTTTGAAATGTCTAATTGCATAGAGGGAAAAAAAGGATCTCTATCAAATGCATTATCATCTTGTGCAATTAATCAAGAATGACAGGATATGGTTTAGCTTCCCTGAAATATCTGTCCACTTTTTAGATATACATTTCAACTTAATTCTCAAGATTCTTTAATGGTATTTTAAGAAACTTGCATATTGTCACGAGTCTAGCAATTTTGCATCATTTACTATCGAAAGCATCGGTCTTTATTCTGCCTAATTAGGAGAAAATAGGAGACAAATTAAGATTTTATGAGTAACAATTTTCTTATCTTAGAGAAAAGTGCATAAACAGGAACTGAAGATTTGGAAGTGACACGTAAAATGGTTCGGAAATTAAAATCAAAGGAAACATATATCGCGTGTGCACACATGTATATTGCGCGATATTCTTTTATTTAATTGAAGAACACATAGTACGAGATTTGGAGCTGACATATAAAATGTATGGGAAATAAAATCGAAGGAAATATATATTGCGCGCACACATATATATTGAGCGATATTCTTTTATTTAATTGAAGAACACATATGACGTCTCCTATTTTATTCCTTAGCTTGGAGACGAGGCCTTATCATACAGATCCTCCCATATGTATCATGCCAATCACAAACGGGACAAGTCAAACTTGTGCAATCATAGTTTCTTTGACAAGGTGCCCAAAATTTGGAGGTAATTGAGATAGTTTCGCTGCAAATGGTTGTAGATCTCGTAGGGCCATCACATGAATTTTCGTAGACCAAAATGAATGGGCTGCAAATCATATTTAAATCCAAAATTGAATTTAGTACCCAAAAAAATAAAAAAAATAATTAACTTAAATAGCCTTCCACCCGGCCGTTAAACTAAAAATAGCCAGCAAATATATAAGACATATATAATTCATGTGTAATATGTGAATTATCGTGTATAATCAGTGTATAGATCTATATATGTATACTGGCTAAAAAAAGTAAACAGTAAATTCGTCCGGCTATTTGTGCAAAGATACCGTTAAAATACAAAGCCAATGAAAAAACATACATGTCAAACAATATGCATCTATATTTTAACAATGTAGGAGGCTAAAATAAGTTACCAGCAATAAGCACAAGGAGAGTGGTGAGAAGGATAGCAACTTTTCCAGCCATGTTAATACTCCTAGTTGAGTAGACTTCAGAGGTTGATAAGAGTAATTACTAGTACAATAGTAATGCATTTCCATCCTCCACCAGGGGCAGTATTTATAGACTTTTTCAAGATATTTGGCAAGTGCTACTAGTACTACTATTAGTATTATAATATACCTACATAGTCCTAAATTCTAATTACACCTTGAATCATGTAAAAGTGGTGCTAACATTTGCATGCATTCTTCTCTTACCCAAGTAGGTTTAATCTTAATTAAAATCTCAATTTGAAATTTTTTGTAGCAATTATATGAGCAACGCAAATCCACCAGCAGTATAGAACTTCAAGCTTCTCGTTTCAAACTCTGCGGTCAGCAACTAAAACATAGTAGCATACAATCAGAATATAAAATTATTGGTGCATACAAACTTGCATCAATTATATTATTGCATGTGTTTTGTATGTCGTGAACTGTATGTCTGCATGTCTAGTGATACATTGAACATATAAATAACATATAACCGACATATACAATACATACAACTTATTTGTATATCATGATTCTTCTTTTTCTTTGAGATTCAATTTGAAATTCCAATCAAAACCAACTTGAATCTTTACCAAAATTCCTGCAAATTGAGATATAATTTCCAACCAGATATTTCAATTATTTTCGAGAACACCTAATCTAAACAAATATTAATTTTGCAAAATTCAGTTTTTAAATTCGAAGTTTCAAAGTTTTTTAATAGCTGTCAATGAAGTCTTATTCAAGCGGAAGATTGGAGTCTGAATCTCTGCTTCTTCTTTTTGGTTCTCAAAAAGTTCATTACTTTTATAATTAAATTATCTCTTTATTAGAGATAAAAACGTTTATAATTAAGAATTAGGTAAAAATTCTTTATTACTCGTACATTGCAAGAGTACATAATCCTCTTTTTTATAGTACCTCGAGAATTATACTTGTAAAAGTGATGGTGTGAAATTCCATGATATATATCAACATTATTTACGATGCAACTCCAGGCGAAGAAATCCGCACTTGTCGGATCTTGCCTCACGAAATATTAATAACTTGTACATTTATTCGCGCTTTGCGCGATCGTAAAGAAAAATAAAATATGACTAAATAATTAATGTCATACTCTATTAATCAAACATTTTTCATGATTTTAACATGAATTATTACATTGATTACAACTGGTGAAATAAAAAGGTTAAGTATGCATTTCGATATTATTTGGTTGAAGTTTGAAAAACAAAAGTATTTGATATCCAAATATTATTTCAAATAGCATTAAATAATATCTATAGCGAAGCCAAAATAATCTTCATGAATGTCAGATATTCCTGTTTTGAGAATGTTACTGCATGTGATAATTCTCCACCAATCCAAATTTAGCAGTTAACAATAATTCAATGAGTGAGATTAGAATTCTACTACCATCATTCTTATATGCTATAATTATTTTTATTTTTCTTGTTTTACTTTCTATTTTGGGTTCTAACAGCAATAAATCATGAGAAACTAACTACAATGACCAAAACTTAGTGTTAATTAGACTACTCTTA